CAAAAAGAGAGACAGAGACAGAAAGCTGCCCTTTCAGAGAAATGGCAGACAGTGAAAGGTGGGCGGAGTTTGCCTCTTAAAGGGACCTTCCTTCCTGCATACAGAGCCAGGGAACTGCTTGCTATGCATAGAAATGGTACACTTTGCCAGGTCCCCAAGGGACAGGGACAGGTTTGCCTGGATTACAACAACTAAAGCTTTCATTTGTATTCAAAGATTTAGAAGGCCTGGATCTACCTTCTGTAGGCAAGACTTCCCCACCCAGAGAGACATTGTAGTCACATGGGTAATTTTGCAATTCCTATCCTAAGCCTGGGTCTTCCTCCTGCATAACATCACACCCAGAATCTTGAGGTAGGGTGCAGTGCCTGCGCTGCTGTGGAAGCCCAAGAAACTGCGGAGGGTGTCGAGATTGATAACCCAAGACTCTTGCTTGATATTAAGAAGGCTCTTTTATTAATTTTAATTTACTCCAGGGACTAGCTTATATACCCCAGGACCAGATGGAGGAGGGGGAAGCGAAGGGGCCCGTTAGTCATTTCAGGTTCCAAGGACCAGTTAGGGCACTTTCAGGGCTGTGGGAGCCAAAAGAGCATTAGCATTTTGCATTAAAAAACATGTCTCCTATTTTCCAGCAGTTATAGCTGCCTGCCCTGAGGGCAGCAGGAGGGGGAATGAATTCTTAGCTGAGGTCTTAATTCCTACAGCAGGGTCTGGGCATACTCGTAAAACTTCCTAGGGTTGGGACATTGAATATTTCCAGGTGAAGATAGGTAAAGAGGATGAGGAAGATTATCCAGGGTTTGCAGGATCATGTCTAGTGTCAGACATATTCATGACTAGCCCCCAACTCTCTGAACTGAATAACAGAAACCACTTCTCTAAGCCTCCATTTTCTCATCTGCAAAATGGGGAGCATAGGGAAAAGGGGCAGCCAATGAAACACACCCTAAGCAGAGACAAAGAAACACACTTTGCCCCCTGGAATGAGAGCAAATGAAAGAAATACACCCTGGCCCTAAAATTAAAGGGTAAAGAGGACCAGTGAGAGAAACACACATTAGCCTTGAAACCTGAGCAAAATCTGACCCTAAGCCTGTGCAGAAAACCAACCAATCCCTGAGCATGAGATCTAGCCAGTCTAAGCTCAGGGACTGAAATCTGACCAATCCCCACCCTGGAAATCTCCCTGAAAAACTCCACCCCTAAGAAGTCCTATATAAACCCTGTGTCTGTTCTGCTTGGTGTAGGTGAAACAACCCTGGGTGGAGCAGAGCAGGGTTGTAACACTTTCTGCCCCGACCAGTGGGACCTAGTTATTCGTGGATTGAGGTGGACTAGAACCTGAAAATAATGGGAGAGAAAGAAGGAATGAGACCAAGCAAGGTTTGTCAAGGTCTAACTTTATTAGGCACAAAGAGGAGTTTTTAAAGCAAAGCGGGGAGGAATTGGGGAGGGATAACTGTGCTGACTCTGGGGAGGGTGTGCTCAGGTAATGTCCCAGGCCATAAATGTCTGCTTAGCGTCTGGTTCATCTCAGTTCCTGGGGTGAGTGGAACAGACTGCTTGTTAAGCAGTTTTCTTTTTTACCAAGATAAGGCTCAATTAGAGTTTTAAGGTGTAAGTAATTCTGCAAGAGGATGTGACTCAAGGCCGGCTCCCAACAACTTTCACCTGGGAAATGTTCCCCTGGTGAAGCAGAATTGTTAAACTCTACCAGGAACCAGAGCTCTAGCAAGTTATTCCTTGGCCTCCATGCATACTCTGTGGCATCTGCATACTTGGTCTGTATATGCATCCTTCTCATTTCCATCCACAATTATATATATATATATATATATATATATATATATATATATATATATATAAATTTTTTTTAAAAGGAAGAGAAAGGATCCTGGAATCAGCCAGTAGGTGGAGACGCTCTCCTGTCTATTATCAAAGTCATGAGAAAACAGAATCAAATTGAGCTTCACAGGTAGAGAATATTCTATCCCTTCCTTTGGATTTTGAATTAAAAAAAAAAAAGTGTCTGTTCTCAGTGAGTTAATATTTCCAGCTTCTGAGCATACGGACACAGCAGCGGCAGCCTTTCCTACATTCTGGTCTGCTAATGCAGCCATCCTTGCCACTCTGTCTTGATTTCCTATTATCCACTCAGGTGCTCCTGAGAAAAGGTTCTCTGAGGTGGAGCTGTAGTATCCGTGCAGTCTTTTCCCATTCTGTGCATGTCCCTGGAAGCCCCCCCCAACACTGAGTAATCACAGCAGCCCAGGATGACAGACAACCCTTGCCCTCTGGATAGGTCCTCAGCCACACCTGGGAATCTGCCTCAGCTGCTCCCTGGATGCCACAATGTGCCTCTTCTGTGTTTGTGTCCCTAGTGTCCTCCGAGGCATGGGCTCACACTTCGTGCCCAATGCACAGTGAATTTGTTGGGCCCTGGCCCTTGTGAGACATCATAAGTGACATTTCACCTTAGAGCAGTGGTTCTCAACTTTCCTAACACTGTGACCCTTTATTTAATACAGTTCCTCATGTTGTGGTGACCCTGAACCACAAAATTATTTTCTTTGCTATTTTGTAACCATAATTTTGCTACTGTTATGAATCATGATGTAAATGTCTTTGTTTTCTGATGATCTTAGGTGACTCTTAGGAAAGGGTCATTAAAAGCCCTCAAAGGGGTCACCCCCACAGGTTGAGAACCACTGCCTTTGAGGACCCCATACTGTAAATGCCGTAGGTAGGAGCAGGCCAGCACCTGCTGCACCATCCTATTGAGCTCTCCTTGTATTTCAGCATGGGAAGGAGGTATTGGCAACTGTAAAACAGCATGCCACCACAAGTGACTAATAAATGTCATTTCTCTACATCCTCGGCTGCTCACGTGCACTCCTTATAGGGAACAGGGAGAAAAGCGCCATCGGACCTCAAACTCTCTCACTGTATTTCAGATATCGAATGTTCCCTAAAGCCCATGTTAAAGGCTTGGTCCCCAAACTGTCACTGTTAGGGATGGCAAGAGATTTAGGAGGTGGGGCCTAAGGAAAGGTACTTAGGGACAGGGGCTGTACTGAAGAGGGGTACATGCCCCTACCCCCTTCTTCCTCCATCACTGACTGTAGCCTTCTCAGGGTACCACTTGTTAGGGGCCCAAGGCAATGGGATACGTAATCATCTACTGGAAGCTACAGAAGTATGAACCCAAATAAACCTTTTATGATACATTCATAGTCTCCGGTGTTTTGGTACAGTACCTGGAAGCTGATTGATACATCTGTTAGCCAGAACCACTGAGATTCCTGTTCCTCTTCTATGCTCCCAGAGAGGTTAAAGCACACCCACCAGCAGTCTTCCCATTCTAGGCTTAGAACTATGTTGTTGTTAACACTCAATACTTAAGAGTGGAGGAGGTTTCTTGGTGGGTCAAGATTGTCGCTGAGTAGAATTAAGCACATCCCAGAGAAGGTCTCATTTTAGATGTTTGACAGTGTGCAGGATGCTGGGGATTTAATTATAAAGAAAACAAGCATAGCTCCAGCCTCTTGGGACTTAACACTCCCTCTGTATTTTAAAATCCAAGTACATAGAAGTATAGTTTATGCACAATTCACTGAAAAATTGAAAATGACTTGTGTGTGGGGAGGGTGCAGACACATGCCACAAACACATGTGCAGAGGTCAGAGGACAACTTGTAGAAGTTACTTCTCTCCTTTCATCTCGTGTGTCCTGGGAACTGAAATTGGGTTGTCAGGCTTGGTGGCAAGTATCTGTCTGTATTAATTGAGCCACCTCACTGGTCCTAATTCAGTTTTATTGTTTTATTAGAGTGTTCTCTGGGGTTTGACATACATGAATAGCTGTACCCTCTCCCACACAATCTGACACAGAGCACTGGGTCACCCATTCCATCTCCACTTTCTCACCCTCTCGACACTTTTTAATCTACCTTCTCTCATTTGCTGTGCCAGCAAGACTGACAAAAGGCCTTTTTTTTTTTTTTTTTTTTTTTTTTCTCAAAACTGTGGATTGTGAAACTGGCTTGTCTTTGATGACCGGTTTTATTTTCCCCACTCCACGTTAGGTTTTGCAATCTAAATGCTCACACTCAGTCCAGTGCCACCAAGACACTTCCTGATGTGTGAACACCCATGCTTAGTAATACTCTGTGCTATGCACGGGTCATTTTAAAATATGTGATGCTTTGAATCAGTCACACATAGCTCAGGCTATCCTTAAACTCAAGAACCAGGGGCTTGGGATGTTGCTGGTAGGATGCTTGCCTAGTATGCATGAAGCCTATTAAGAATAGTCACAGAGAAGACTCACAAGTTCAAGGTCATCCTCAGCCACACAGCCAGTTCGAGGTCAGCCTGGGTACATGGAACCTTGTCTCAAAACAAAACAAAATTACATATAACTGAGGTGGCCTTATGTTCATCTTCCTGCCTCGATCTCCCAAGTGCCAGATCGCAGGCCTGATTGGGTCACTGATGTTATCTTGGGAACAGGGAAAGAAAGACACTAATGTTGGCTCAGCTGATTCAGTTCTGGACAGGCTGACTGTTGTTCCAGAATGACAGACACCTGTTTCTTTTAATCCCAAACCTGTGGGTTGTCAAACTAAAAAGAAGAAAGGAAGGAAGAAAATAAAGGCGGGCAGGGGGGTGGGGGGAGCGGGCTTATTTGTATTTTGTTTTTGATTGTGTGCATTTGCGTTTGTGTGCATGGGTTCCGGTGGAGGACAGATTAATCAGATCTCCTTGAGCTATAATTACAGGCGGTTGTGATGTAGGTACTGAAAACTCGGGTCCTTTGGAAGGGCACGAGGTGCTCTTAATCGCCAAGCAGTCTCTTCAGCCCCTAAATGCACTTATTTTTGTAGATTGCTTTTTATTTGGATTCCAGGGCCCCCTGGAGAAAGAGGACTTGGCACAAAGACCCTCTCCCGCGCTTTATGACACCAGCACTGAGTCACAGAGGCCCTGTGGCTACTGGCTCCTGGGATGCCCTGGCCCTTTGGGCGGAGTTTTGCCCGCGTGGGGCTGATGGGGAAAGATGGAATTTCTTGGAACCACTCAGACAGCCAGTTACTGTGGCCCCAAGAAAGACTGTGGTTTGCAGGTGCTGCCTCCTGCTGGGCAGAGCCCTGTGGTACAGGAGTGCTACCAACCCTATCATCTGCCCGGGTACCGCTACCTGAATGCGTGGAGACCCAGCATCTTCTACAAGATCGCCACCACCCAGACATGCCCAGAGGAATGCCAAGGTGTCCGGCGTCCACCCACCATCCTGCCCTCGCTCCGCTCCGCGCTCTTCTGTCGGTACACCCCACGCGACTGGGATCGCTCCAACGAGCTGCAGATCAGGGGCGCAGAGGCTTCGCGGCTCTGGGCCAGCCGGCTGACGGGCGACTCCTTGCGGATCATGCAGGATAAGGACCAGCTAACACGCCAGATGCAGGAAGGTACATCTAGGAACCTCGGCCAGAGGCTATCTGACATCGGCTTCTGGAAGTCGGAGTTGTGCTATGAGCTGGACAGGCTTCTGTCAGAGAACAACAGCATGGACACCATCAAGAGGCGTTTGGAGTGCGCAGCCCAGGAGGTGAACTGTCCCCTGCAGGTGAGTTGGGGAAAGAGACACTGTTGCACCTGCTGTCACTGAGTCAAGGTGACAGGCACTATGCAGGTGGATTGAGTTGCATTGTCTCTTATAATCTTATTTTTAAAGTGGAAATGATCGGAACCTGGAGAGATAGATGGCTTGGGGGTAAGAGCATAGGTTATTCTTGCAGATACCTACACCCACATGGCAGCCACTCACGGTGGCTGTAGTTCCAGTGTGTCAGATACCTTCTTCTAGCCTCCCAAGGCACTGCGTGCTTGTGGCATACAGACATAGAAACAAGCAAAACATGGGAATTTTCCATATAGATGAATTTCTCTTCTCCTTAGGTGTGTTAGTCAGTGTTCTCTAGACCATTAGAATGAATATAGATCACAGAGGGATTTATTGGATTGGCTTACACAATTCATGCTGGGTACTGAAGCAATGGAGGGGCTGAGAGCCCTGTAGCTGCGCAGTACCATGGGTTGGATACCCTAGCATCCCGGATCTGGTGATGGATGCCTGGAGGAGTCCTGGGGATCTGCAGGCCTCCAGTCCATGTTGGAAGGCTAAAGAAGCTGAGTTCTGATGCCAGCAAAGGATAGCAGCAACAGCAGCTGCAAAGACAAAGACGGTCTTAGCAGCAAGGAATGAAGGCAGACGGGCAAAAGCTGCACTTTCTTCCCACTCCTGTTCTTATGTGGGCTTTCAGCCAGGTGCTGCACACTCTGGGGGAAGGCTCCCCCTTTGGTTCATATTCTCACACACCTTGTCAGAGCCTGTCAGTTGATGGTAGAGCCAGCTGGCAAGCAACATCAATCATCACATTAGGGGTCCCATCAAGACATTGTGTGCATACACACACTGTGGTCATTAGGATACTTATGTTAACATCTCCTGACACCATAATTGTCTTTTTATGCTGTGTATATGTGTGTACATGTGTACATTTGGTTGTGTGTACAACACATGTCGACCAGTGGTTTTCATCAGAAACCAGACATCAGGTCCCTTCATCAATTGTCCCCCACCCTCAGTTTATTTTCTGAGCCAGTGGCTCACCTGATGGCCTCTGGATCCTCATCTTTGCCTCCCTAGCTTTGAGATCATAGCATGTGCCGCTGTGCTTGATGAATTCTGATCTGTCCTCTGGCTTACATAGTAACCTGTGACTATGCTGTCTCCTCAGCCTCTATTGCTTGGTTTTCTGTGTCTCCTGGGATTAGGCTCCACCAGGACAGAGAACCTCTGCCTTCTCATTGATGTGTTCAGAAGTGGTACCTACCTGCTGCTTGCTCAGGTGTCTGTCTGTGTCCTTAACAACCTATGTCTTTACCAATTGACTGCTGTCTAGCCAATGCTTTGGATACACCCCCAAGCTAAGACTGAGTGTGGTACTCAGCACTCATTCGTGTGTGTGTGTGTGTGTGTGTGTGTGTGTGTGCGTGTGCGTGTGCGTGTGCGTGTGTGTGTGTGTGTGTGTGTGTGTTGCTTCTGCTTATTAAACTCAGAGTTTCATATGTGCTGGTCAAGTATAGCTACCACTGAGCTGTTGTCTCTTGTCTTTGCTACTTGCTATCCTATTGCTGTGAAGAAATACCATGGAGCAAGGCAACTCTTATAAAAGAAAGCAGTTATTTGGGGCTTGCTTACAGTTTGAGGGTGAGATCATGATCATCATGGTGGGAAGCAGACAGGCAGCACTGAGATAGTAGCTGAGAGCTTTACATCCTGATTTGTAGACAGCACGCAGAGTGTGACCCTGGACCTGGTGTGGGCTTGTGACACCTCAAAGGCCACCCTAGTGACAAACATCATCCAACAAGGACACACTTCTTAACCCTAAACCATCATTCCTCTTGTGAAATGACCTCCCTTGTGCTTCCCCCCCCAAGTCTCAGCACATAGTAGAAATACAGATCTCTCTCTCTCTCTTTTTAATCTAGCATATAACAGAGAACATCTTGCTTATTTCACTTAGCATGATTTCCAGTCCCATTCACTACAAATACTATACATTTTTTTTTCTTTAGGCTCATAAAATTCCATTGTGGAATATACCACATTTTCTTTATCTAGGCTAGTTCTATTTCCTAGCTGTTGTGAATAATGCAGCTGTAAACATGGAGATGTGGGTATCTCTGTGGGATGCAACCTTAAAGTCCTTCAAGTACATACTAAGTGTGGTATAGCTGGATCACACGTTAGTTCCATTTTCAGGTTTTGTTTTTTGTTGGTGGTGGTAGTGGTGTGTGTGTGTCTGTGTGTGTGTTCCTCTATACTGCTTTTCAAGGTAGCTGCAGGAGTCAATGAACCCTTTGAATAAGTGAATATGTGAACATTCTTGACCTTCCTTGGCCTTCGAGACTCCTAGCCTTGCATAGGTTAGAATGATTTTGGGCTGTATGTAATAGATGCTCAGCAGCTGTGGCCGAGCCACAGTTTGTGTTTCTATCATGATGAAGACTCCAGAGACAAATGTTGATCCAATGCTCTGCTAGGAACAAGGCTCTTCTCTCTCTACTGTGCCAGGCATAGCATGTGGCTCTTGGTCCTAATGCTAAAAGGAGGGATCATATTTTGAGTAGCAAGCTCCTACATGCAGGGATCATTTGATATTCTCATTTGAGGCAGGAACTGTAGGGTAGGACAAAGGACAAACTGTCAACTGTCACATTAGCAAGGAATAGTATTATTTCCAGAATCCCATGTCTTCCTTTTTAGCCTATTTGCTGGAACAACAGAGGCCTCTTGGCTGCAGAGGAGTCTGGGTAAGAGAATGTTTTTCTCTAGACCGTGCAGAAAGTTTGGAAGAGATTAAGTGGATGTTGGGTAGGGAAGCAGGGTATTGGGTAGGGACTATGTATGCCTCCTGCTGTGAGAAGTAGTCCTGGGCTCACTAGGGTATACAGGGAGCTGCTGCCCCTAACAGCTGTGTCTGCACCAATGTTGGGACATTGACAGGAAAGGTCATGGCATAGGTTATGTCTGGAACTCCCAAATTCATTTGGGGAGTGTTCCGCTGACCCCCCCCCACCATTGCTCCTTACCAAGAAGTTGGTCAGAGACACACAAGATAAGGGATGTCTGTTGATCTCTCTTCCCCTCTCTTCATTCTCTCAGCTTGTCTGGAAGCCAGCTCTGCCTGGGCACAGGTGAGTCAGGAACCAGACACACCTGAATTCTACCTGCTACTCCATCTCCTGGGCTACCACAATCCAGGTTGTGTCTCAGCAGCAGAAATGGTCTTCTTCCAGACTCCTTACCCCAAGCAGCCAAATCAAACTAGATTGAATCCTTCTCTCACTGGCTTCTAGATGGCTTTCCTAACTAAGCTTAATGTCTTTTGGTGGGGAAATGTTTTATGGGGTCCTGTCTTAGTTAGTTAGGGTTTCTATTGCTGTGAAGAGACACCATGACCATGGAAACTCTTATAAAGGAAAACATTTAATGGGGCTGGCTTACAGTTCAGAGGTTCAGTCCATTATCATCACAGTGAGACATGACATCACTCGGGCAGACATGGTACTGAAGAAAGAGCTGAGAGTTCTACATCTTGATTTGCAGGCCACAGGAAAAGAACTGTCAGCCACTGAGCCTGGGCTTGAGCATCTGAGACCTCAAAGCTTACCCCAACAAGTCCACACCTTTAGTGTGTGAGTGTATGAGGGCCATTCCTCTTTAAACCACCACACTCCACTCCCTGGCCCCCATAAACTTGTAGCTATATCAGAAGGCAAAGTGCATTCAGCCCAACTTCAAAAGTCCCCACAGTCTACAACAGTCTCAACAATGTTTAAAAGTCCAAAGTCTCTTCGGAGACTCATGCAATCTCTTAACTGTAATCCCCTATAAAATCAGATCACATACTTTGGACATACAATGGCACAGGATATACATTACTTTTCCAAGTAAGAGGAGAGGGGGCATAGTGAGGAAGACCAAAAAACCAGCTGGGTAAATTGCAAACTGTTTCTCCATGTCTGATGTCAAAATCCTCTTCAGATCTTCAATTCCTTTCAGATTTGTTGACAGCAACATGCTTCCTTATCTTGGGCTGGTTACCCTCACTGTTAGCAGCTCTCTTCAGCAGGTATTCCATGGCTCTGGCATCTCCAATATTTTGGGGTCCTTAAGGCAATCCAGCTTTTCAGCTTCATGCAATGACTTCTCTAGGGCTCCATACAAGGATCCCTCTGACACATGCCTGGCCTCAGCAGCATTCCTTAGTTGATGAGGAATAGTCCACAACCCCTTTAAAGCCAGAACCACATGGCTGAAGTTGCGGAGTTCCGCTGCTTGCTGTGGTTGGAACCTGGCCCCCATGTTCAATTACATCTTCACCAGCTTTCTGTTTGCAATCACTGACTGAGCTTGGCCATCCTGGAACTCATTCTGTAGACCAGGCTGACCTTGAACTCAGAGATCTTCATGTCTCTGTCTTCTGAGTATGGGGATTAAAGATGTGTATGACATGCCTGGACCTAAACTTTTCTTTAATTCTTTTTCACAAATTGGAAGCTTTGCTGGGTGGGATCTTGCCCTGAGGTCACCACTCCCTTTATTCCTTTAACATCAAGATTTTTCTTAATCTATTTATTTCCTTGAACACAGAATTTAGTTCCATTCCACTTCTTGATGCCCCTTTTCTCCTCAATCAGTACATTTTTTGTTATTTTTACTTGCACAGCTTGCTCCTTTTCATTGTAAATATGCATTAGAGTGAATCCTAATAACTACATGACAGAGTCAATACTAGGCTCTTTTGAGATTTTCTCTGCCAAAGCAATTAATTCAAAGCCTCAGACAGACCTTTTGGACAAGGGCAGAAAACAGTCATATTCTTCACCAAAGTCTCTAGCCTACATACTAATATTCTTTTCCTCTGAAACCTCTTGAGCCAGCCCCTCATAGTTCAAATCACCCTCAGCACCACTGTATTGCATGTTCCTACTAATAAGGCCTATTAAACAGTTCTTAAAGTATTCCACTGCCTTCCTAATCCAAAGTCCCAA